GGTTGGGGTTTTTTTTTTGGGGTTGTGGGGGGTTTTTTTGGGGTTTGTGGGTTTTTGTCAAAACTGGGGATACCGAAAAGATTTTAAATTAAGTGGGTTTTTGTTGTGGGTGATTGTTGGGGGTTGGGGGTGTTGTGGGTTGTGGGTGTTGTGGGATGTGGGTGTTGTTGGGGTTATGGGTTTTGTTTTGGGAACAGAGAAAATGAAAAAGATGTTAGATTGGGTTGTTTTGTGGGTGTTGTGGGTTGTGGGGGGTTTGTGGGTTGGGGGGTTTTGGGTTGTCGAACTAGTTTTCCCCGGAAAAAAATGTTTTTGGGTTGGGTTTTTTGTTGTGACTTTTTTTGATGAAATTAGTTTAAACGAGAAAAATTGGGGTTGGGGGTGTTGGGGGTTGTGGGTTTTGGGGGAAATGTGGGTGTTGTTGTGGGAAACTAGAGATATGAAAAAAAGATTTTTATGATTGGGTTTTTGTTGTGGGTGTTGGGGGTTGTGGGGTTTTGGGTGGGTTGTGGGTATTGTTTTTTCAATCTTAGTGTTGCCAAAAAAAGGTTGTTTTTAAGGGGGTTTGTTTTTTGTGAATTTTTTTGGGATGAAATTAGTTGAAAACGAAAAAAAATTGTGGGTTGTGGGTGTTTTTGGGTTATGGGTGTTGGGGGGTATTTTTTCCCCAAAATTTGGGAAAACCGAAAAAGAGGGATTCGGGTGTAAGTGTTCGTTTTTTGGTGTTTTGGTTTTGGGTGTTAAATTTTTTTTTTGCGTATTTGTTACATCTTATTTGGGAAGGGTGAGTGCATTTCAAAAAAATTGGTAATCGTCTTGGTTATTTTTGGGATTTGAGAGGTTTTTGTGGGGGAAAAATGTGTGTTTTTCTTTTGATGTTGATCTTAGTTTATGGTGTTATTTTGGGAATTTTTTGACCGTTTTTCAGTGGTTTTTGAGTTTTTCAGGGGTGCTTTTGGGGAGTATTCAAATGGTTTTTGGGAAAATTATTCAAAGGTTTTTTTTAAAGGTGTTCAAATGTGTGCAAGAGTATTTATGAAGGAGTTTTTTGGGAGTTTTCAGTGGGTGATTTGGGGGTTGTTCGGGAGATGTTTTTTGGAGTATTCAAAGGTAATTGATTGTGTTTTTGGTGTTGTTAAAAGGGTAAAGTAAACTGAGTTAGTTTTTGTGATACTGTTTGTAAAAATTTGGGAAAATGAGGGGGGAGTTTGGGGGATGAGTTGAAAATTTAATGAAATATGTAAGTGAGATAAATTTTAAAATTTTCAAATTTTATTTGGGAGTTTTCAAAATTTTTGTCTTGGAAATGTTTTTATTGTTTTTTGGGAAATGTTAAAAGGTTTGCTTTTGGGGAGTTTTCCCAAAATGATTTATAAATATTTTTGGGTTGGGAAGGAAAATTAAGGAAAAGTGAGGTGTGTATGTGTGTGTGTCCCGTTTTTAACTTGTAAAATGTAAAATTTTGACTAGTAAAATTAAAATTTTAAAAAAGTTTTTTAAAAGTTGTAAGTGTTGTGGTGACTTTTTCTGATAAAAAATAGTTAAAACGGGGGGAAAAAAAATTGTGGGTTATGAGTAAAAAAGGGAGTGTGGGGGGGAAGGTGAGGGTTTTGGGTGGGGGGAGGGGGAAAGGAGAAAAGGGAAATATTTTGGTGCCCTGAGATGTTATCTGAGATCGGTCAGATAGATTCGCCGATTTTTTTCCTGATAAAATTTATTTTAAAACAAAAAAAAATATCTAGCTTGGGAGAGTGAATCTTTTGTAAAAAATTGTGAATTGTTCTGTGGGTTTTATTAACGAAAAAATTTTTGGGAAATTTAAATTTGGGTTATCCGGGGTTTAAGAGTGAAAATGTTTTCCCTATGTTGTAATGAAATGTGTAATACTGAGATGGTGACGACGAAGATGATCCCGAACAAAAAAGCATTGAATTTCTTTAAGAGAAAAAAATGTTTGGTTTTTTGTCAATGAATTTTTACCTTTTTTCAATGAATTTTTTTTTTGGATGTATTTTTGAAATGCATTTGGTTTTTATAATAAATTTAAATTTAAAAAAATTGTGTATTTTGGGTTTTCCTGCATTTTTTTTGTCTGCTCGACGGGTTCTTTAGCCTGTATGTTTGGGCATCAAGTTTACGTCAGAATAGGGGGAAGTCGAAAGATTTCAGCCCGTATTTTGTGGGGTCTCGCGTGCGTCAAGGAAAAGCCCCGGGAAACACAGGTGAAAGGGGACGTCAGCTTTTTTTATACCCGTAGTAAGAGAAAGTTTTCCCTGCCCCATAGGGGGAGTTTTTATTTGAATGCTTACCCCCCGACTGGGGGAACCCCAAAAAAATTGGGTTGGGGTGGGTTTTGTTTTATCGAAAAAAAACTTGATTCCCAAAGGGGATGGAAAACTTGGCATTATTGATTTCCCAGAAAAAAATTTTATCCGAGGGGAAATTGGGGCAGGGGAATTTGGGATGCAAAATGGGGAGTCCTTTTTTTTAAAGCTTAACCCCCCGGGGGGGGGAAAATCCAAAAAAAAAGATTTGAGGGGGAAAATGGGAAATCTTTGTATTATTGATATCGAGAAAAAATTGATCCCGGGGATATAAGAATTTCGAAACCCCATAGGGGGGGGAAACCAAAAACTTGATCGAGGAGGGGGGGAGTCTTTTTTTTTATCGAGGGAAAAAACTTGATCCAAGGGATGGGGAGGAATATTTGGGATGCAAGTGGGAGTCCATTTTTTAATTTCTTACAAACCCGAGTGGGGAATCCAAAAAAAAAATTGATTCCCCAGGGGATGGAGGGGAAATACTTGATCCAAGGGATGGAAACAGAAATTTTTGGGAAGGGGGGGAAAGTGGGAAAGGGGAACCTCAAAAATTTGATCCCAGGAGGGGGTGGAGAGCACAAAGGGAAATTTTAAAAAAAAAATTCCCAAAATAAAAAATCGGGAAAAAAAATTTGGGGAAATTTGGGGGGATTTCCCGGGCGACGCTGCAGAAAGGGGCTGCAGAAGGCACGGGGCGGGGCGAGGTGGGGGGCGGGGGGGGCGCGAGTCGGCGCAGGAAAGGCCCGGGGCGGGCAGCCCCAGGAACCCGGGCGGGGTCGTGGGTGGCGTCCTTTGGGGGGGGTTTTTTTTGGTGGGTAGAGGCCCAGGGTGGGGGCCGTGGGTGGGGGTCGTGGGTGGGAGGGGGGTTCCCCCCCTTGGTTTTTTTGGGCGTTCCCCCGGTTTAAATTTTAAAGTTTTTCTTGGGTTTTTCTTGGGGGTCGTGGGTTTGGGGTTTGGGGGTGGGGGGGGTTGGGTTTTTTGGGGAGGGGCGTGGGTTTTGGGGGCTTTTTGGGGGGGCCGGGGGGGGCGGTTGGGGGGTGGGGGGGTTTTTTTTGGGTGAGGTCAAGGGTCTTAGCATAAAGGTGTAGAAAAAGGGGACCCCTAAGGAGGGACCGCCAGGCCACCCTTTTTCAACTACTTATATATATATTATATATATATTTATATTATATATATATATATTTTATTTTAATATTATATATATTATATATTATTATAAAATATTTATTTTATATATATGTGTATAAAAATTATGTAAAAATATTAAAATATTATATATATATTTTATAAATTTATATATATTTATTATATATATTATATATATATTTTAATATATATAATTATATATTTATGTCGTGCCGAAATTTTTTAAAAACTGGTATTTAGCAAGAAAATCTTTTTAAAATTAAGGGCCTTTCTAAAATTTTTCCTTTTTAAAGTTTTAAAAAAATATTTTTTTTTTCAATTTAAAGTTAATTTTTAAAAAAATTTAATTTTGCCAAAAAGGGAAATTAGAAAAATTAAATTAAACCCTTTTATAACAAGAAAAAATTTTTTTTAGCCTAAACCCCTCTAAATATATTTTAGATTTGTTTACAAAATTTTTAAAACTAAAAAAAACACGGTTTAAAAAATATTTTTTTTTTTTGGGGCAGAATGAATTTTGGGCGAAATTTTTGCATTTCACAAATTTTCACTTGTCCTATATGGCAAGATTGAGCATTGTATTTAAGCCAAGGGTTTGCAAGTTCTGCCTATTCGGCACGACATACATATATTTAATATTTATATATATATATATATATTTTATATATATAATATATATTTTATATATTTATATATTTTAATTTTTATATATATATATATATATGAAGGAATTCGCAAGAGGTTTGGCCATGTAGAGTGGGTGAAACGAAGTAGAATGACTTGAAGAGTGTATAACTCTGAACTGTAGTAATGGAAAGGTAGGGATCGGCCTAGGAAAGGTTGGAGGAGGGGGTAAATGAGGTTTTGTGTGCAAGGGGCTTGCTAGGACGACAAGCAAACATGCGTGAGTGTGTGTTAGATAGGAGCAAATGGACACAAATGGTTTTTAGGACATGACGTGCTGTTGGAGAGTAAGCATGGTAACATTTGTGAGGGGATTCAGGGAAACTGGCAGGCCGGACTTGATTTCTGGAGATGGCAAATGCAGTGCCGGCACTCGGAAGGAGGGCTGTTCGTGTTGCAGTTTTATAACTGTAGTGTAAGCATGCCTCTGACAAGACATTCATGGCGTGAATGATGAAAGTTTTTCTTTTTCGGGCCACCCTGCCTTGGTGGGAAACGGCCGACGTGTTAATAATATAAAAAAATAAAATACACACTCGCACACACACACACACACACACACACACACACACACACACACACACACACACACACACACACACACACACACACATACACACACACATACACACACACACAACACACACACACACACACACACACACACACACACACACACACACACACACACACACACACACACACACACACACAATATAATATATATATATATATATATATATATATATATATATATATATATATATATATATATATATATAATATATATATAATCAAATATAAAGGGAGGTACCACCTACATAAAGTAGGTATATATATAGACCTTACCTCATTAAGAGAAACTAGTCGGAGATTGAAGAAGACTGGTAGCGTCACTTTGTAAACAAAAATGGAGCCCAAGATGATTCCTAACACACTGATGGTGAGCTGTGTCCCGAAGAAGTACGCCTCAGAAGAGTAACCTGAGGAAGCAATTAGTACTTGATCAGTTTTATGTAAAATACTCTGAAATTTATGGAATTCGTGATCTAATTGCACTAGAAGGTTTTGTTTTAATGTAGGTGAAAGGCTCTTGATCCAATGAATTGGACGTGTCCTCCACTTTCATAGATGGAACGCTAGTGTCTCCATTTCTCCTATATGTTTTGTGATCCCCACGACGTTTTTTCATAATATAGAAGTAAGAACATAAGAACATAAAAAAGAAGGAACATTGCTACAGGCCTACTGGCCTATACGAGGCAGCTCCAATTCTCGTGCCGGCTTAAGCCAGCACCTTGACCTAGTGATACCAGACCAAGTATCACAAGCTAGACAGGTCCAACTCACACCCACCCACACCCACTCATGTATTTATTCAACCTATTTTTAAAACTACACAACGTCTTAGCGTCTATGAGGTACTCGGGACTTTGTCCCACTCATCCACAACTCTATTACCAAACCAGTGCTTTCCTATATCCTTTCTGAATCTGAATTTTTGCAATTTAAAGCCATTGCTGAGAGTACTGTCTGTGTTAGATATTTTTATCACTCTATTTACATCCCCTTTATTAATTCCTGTTTTCCATTTATACACCTAAATCATATCCCCCCTAATTCTACGCCTTTCCAGAGAGTGCAGGTTCAGGGCCCTCAGTCTTTCCTTATAGGGAAGATTTCTGATACTTGGGATCAACTTTGTCATCCTCCTTTGTACGTTTTCCAGTGCATTTATATCCATTCTGTAATACGATAACCAAAACTGCACAGCATAATCCAAATGAGGCCTAACCAAACATATATAGAGTTGAAGAACAACCTGAGGACTCCTATTATTTATACTTCTTGCTATGAAGCCAAGGATTATGTCAGCTTTATTGCGAACACTAATGCACTGTTGTCTTCGTTTTAGATTACTGCTAACCAGAACTCCTAAATCCTTTTCGCAATCCGTAATATTAAGATCTACATTATTTAGTTTATATGTGGCATAGTTATTTTCCTGTCCAACATTTAGAACTTTGAATTTGTTTATGTTATACTACATCTGCCACTTCTCTGACCACTGCTTGCAGTGGTCGGAGAAGTGGCAGATGTAGTTTAACATATCCTCCTGGAGTGCTCTAATGTCCTCCTTAGAATGAATTGGACGACCTATTTTGGTGTCATCAGCAAATTTGCTTAGGTCGCTATTTATTCCCTCATCTATGTCGTTTATGTAAATTGTGAACACCAAGGGGCCCAACACTGACCCCTGTGGAACATCGCTTGTAACGTGCCCCCATTCTGATTTCTCCCCATTTATGCAAACTCTCTGCTGCCTATTCGTCAACCATGCCTCCACCCAGGAAATTATTTCTCCTATTCCGTGTGCCTTAAGTTTCCTCAATAGCATCTGATGTGGAACCCTATTGAAAGCCTTACTGAAGTCCATATACACAATATCATATTCATTATCATGATCTACCTCCTCAAATACCTTAGTGAAGAAAGTTAGTAAATTCGTAAGACACGGACGCCCCTTTGCAAAAGCGTGCTGAGATTTATTTATCAATTTATGCCTTTCGAGATGGCTGCAAATTGTTTCAGCAATTATTGATTCCAAAAATTTTCCCACTGTGGAGGTAGGATTTATTGGTCTATAGTTCGAAGTTAAGGACCTGTCACCTTTGTAAATAGGTATTACATCTGCGATTTTCCACTTATCAGGCACTATGCCAGTTTGTAGTGATATTTTGAGGAGATTATCCAAAGGTATGGTAAGTTCCTCTTTACATTCCTCTAACACCCTTGCAAACATTTCATCAGGGCCTGGGGATTTGTTAGCTTTTAATTTCTCTGTCTGAGGACCATGTCAGTTGTTACTACAATCGTGCATAGTTTATTATCGTCCTGTTCTACATAATTTATTATTTTGGAATTTCGCTAGTATCTTCCTGAGTAAAAACTGAGAAGAAGTAAGAATTGAAATTTTCACACATTTCCTTATCACTGTCAGTGATCTGACCAGAGTTACTCTTAAGTGGGCCTATTTTGTCCCTAATCTTACTTCTGTATAACTGAAAGAACCCTTTTGGGTTACTTTTTTTTTCCTTGCGACCTTAGCTCAAAATCTGCATTCAAATTACATCCACAAGGCTCTGACACACATACACACATACCCAAAGCAGCTCGCCCCTCAGTTGCTAGCAAATTACTGACCTCTGAAGAATGTCAACGTACTCTTTCAAACAGGTCCTGGCACAACCGCTGCTTTTTTTTGGCGATGCCTGGTTTGGCTGTCCCACCAAGGAGGGACAAGTCACTAGCAACACACGGTTTATTAGGGGCGAAAGTGCATCCCAGGGGATGAAACTGTCTGTCTCCCCCCTTAGGCGACAAACACCCGCAGGCAAAATGCCTACAACAGGACATGCGACGCCTCAAAAATCAGAGCCCAAATTAGCAAAAAAAAAAAAAATAGAAGAGGGTAATACTATTGGAGCTCTGAGGCTTATAACCAGTGAGGATACCATTGCTCCCAAGGACGTCAGCACGACGCAAGCTCTGAAGGACAAACATCCACCCAGTGCTCCCGTACCAACATTGACATCTCTGACATTGCAGCAGGTGAAGAACATCTAACCTTACAGGATGCTGATGTGTATAAAGCTGCTATGTCACTTCCACAGGGCTCAGCAGGAGGATTCACCAGTTTAAGGCCTCAACACTTAAAACTCTCAACACTCAATCCAGGCTGCTGTCTGAACTCACCAAATTTTAAAACCTGTGCCTGGCTGACAGTGTCCCAGAGGCCATCAGACCCCTTTTCTTTGGTGCCTCATTGTGTGCCCTCCGAGAAAAGAATGGCAGAATCAGGCCCATTGCAGTGGGCAACACCCTTCAGCGCCTAGTCGCCAAATAAGAATGGTGAGTCAAGAGCCTGCTCCAATGCTGAAACCAACTCAGCTCGGTTTTGGTGTTCAAAAGGGATGTGAAGCAGCTGCCCATGCAGCACGAGTATATATCAAAAACATGTCCGATGAAAAAGCCTTGGTCAAATTGGACTTTGCCAATGCTTTCAAATCAGTCAGAAGGGATTCTGCTCTCCAAGCAGTTTATTAATAACTTCCCTTCCCCTTTTTAAAAACCTTCATAGAATGTGTTATAGTGTGACTTCCAAAATTGTTTGGGGACCTGAAATTGACTCATGTGAGGCATTTACAAACAGGGAGACCATCTCGCCACTTTCATTCTGTTTGGTTTTCAATGAAGTCACAGAAGCACTCTCTGTGACGCCAATATCTGGTTCTGGGTGATGGTACCTAGCTGGCACAAAAGAATCTCTCCTAGAGTACATCAGCTAAATTAAAGACATGGGGAGAATGGCCCTGGGCCTATCTTTTAAAACCCCACCGTGTGAAATAGTTTCTACCTAATCGACAGTGATCCAGATTATTAGTACCGTTTTACCAGGAGCATGAGCCATTGATCCAGCCAATAGCATTATCCTTGGTGCTCCTCTTGGGTTCAATGCCATCGATCTGATCGTAGAAAAAAAAGTCTCAGTCCTCCGGACGATGGAAAGCAGGATGAAAGACATTGACACACATGATGCTTTCTACCTACTCACCAGGTGCCTGTCAATACCAAAGCTTACCTACTTTCTGAGATGCTCCCCAGCCTTCAGCAGTCCAAAACTCAAGGAATATGACTCTCTCCTAAAGACCATGCTAGAGAGTGTATTGAATCTTTCCCTCGAAGATGGACAGTGGTTGTGAACCTCACTTCCGGTCAGGCTTGGGTGGGCTGGGAGGATGCAGATCCTCCCAGATTGCTCTACCAGCTTTCCTATCCTCTTCCATAGCATTAAATGAGTTGATTAGACAAACTCTTTCTAATAACCTCAGTGACTCAGCAGGAATACAGGACCCTAGCTATACCAGTGCCATCATTGAATGGGAGATTCTTCCTGCTCCAGCACTGGCTCACAGTCAAGCTGGGATGGCCCAATCACTGAAAAGGTGCTTGCCAACATGTTCAGGGCTGCAACAACAGATAGGGACACTGCCCATCTCCAGGCTGTGAGCACACCTCACTCCGGGAACTTCCTCCAAACAGTTCCCATATCAGCAATGGGAACGCGACTCGGCCCTAAGACCCTCTGTATTGCAGTGGCTCTGTACCTTGCTGCCCCAATTCACACAGAATATACATGTATTTGCGGTGAAGCGCAAGCAAGTCCAATAAGGTCTTACATGGTCTTAACTGTTCCAAAACCAAGGGCTTGCATGCAAGACACAATGAGGTCAATAACATCATAAAGAGAACCCATGCTACAGCTGGATGCTCAGCCGAAAGGGAGCCCTAATCACTAGCAGCCAACAATACCCACAACCCAGCAATCCACCCCGACGGGATCACCAATCTATCATTGGAAGAATGCAAGCTCTCAGCATGGGACTATACCTGTGTGTCCACACTGGCTGACACCTATATCCATCACAGTGTTGGGCGACAGGGAGGAACTGCTGACCACAGAAAGGAGTACAAGATCAGCAAGTACAGGAACATAAGCCAGCATGTATTAATTTGTCCAGTAGGATCAGAGACCTTGGATCATGGGGAAAAAATGCCACACGTTTCCTTAAAGAATTGGTTCCGACTCATCGACACCACCAGGACCCTAGGGTAAGCCACTTTCATTTTCCTGCACCTCAGCATGGGCCATCAGAGGGGAAACCTGCTTGCTGCAACTTGCTCACGTCCGGCTTTTTTTTCGAGTAGGCTGAGGAAATTCATGATCTTTAATCATTGTGCTCAGAGTATTCAAGTTTGTGTTTTCTGTAATGTATCTGCTTGGTTTATTAATTTATATATGTATATATATTTATATATTTATATATATATATAATAAGTATATTTATATATATATATAATATATATATATATATTCATATATTTTATATTGTGTGTGTGTGTGTTTGTGTGAGTGTTTGTG